AGTTGTATAATCATTAGCAGATCTCATTTCCATGGAGTATATTTGGTCCTTACCCCTCAGTCACGGTCTATTGACTTTAAAACTTTTGCTTAGTTTACATGTATTAGTTTGTGATTAGGTCAGTTTAAGATGAACCATAAATCTTAAGTCATTGATATTTGGTATGCAAAAGTATTGGTATTTGCAAGTTTCGTTTCCACTGAGATTATATAACTCCACCTCCTCATTATGGTTTATTGAATTTTAAACTTTTGCATAGTTTACAAGTTAATGTTTGTGTTTAGGTTAGTTTAAAGAGAACGACCCATGAAAAGTCAATGATATTTGGTATGCAGTTGTATTAGCATTGGCACATCTAATTTCCATGGGTATTGTTTAGCCCTGTACCTTCAGTCATGGTTCATTGACTTTAAATATTTGCATAACTTATGTGATAAAGTATTGCTATTTTAATTTCAACATATGCATTATCAAAATAACAAGTAGGCGAGACATATCTCTGTGTTAACAGTTTATTTTAGACGAGGGAGTAGTTAGCATTTACATTGTACTGCTTTTGTAATACACATTAAATCAAACATTTTTCATATTTCTGAAAGCAAAGCAGTTTTAAAAATATACTGCACTTCCAATATATATACTTTGATAAACATTCAATTTTACATTTATTGACAACATTTGGCCCAATAAAATTCTTTTCAGCACATCTACTTAATTCTATTCATATGTCCTATCGTTAAACTTATATGTGGTTCAAAGCTTAAAATTGTACTTGACTTATAAGTCTGGGGAAAAGTTTAATACACAGCACAAAAGGGAGATAACTCAGGTTTTGAAGTAACTGACATGCATTATCAATGTTTTTCTTTGCAATTATGGAAAGTAAAGGATCTTAATTACAGTAACAGGAATCTATTTCATGAGCTGGAGTTACCTCCCATATTTTATAAGAGTACAAAAATAAAGAAAACTTTAAATGATTGTGAAAAAAATTAAGTTTACTGATAAATAATAATAAATATATTACTGATAAATCAATATTAACCCATCAATATAATCTATGTATCTAGGAATTTGAAATCAAAGATACAAAGTCTACTGGAGATAAATATAAACAGTAATAGAAAATACAACTCGAAACCAACACTGATCTAATCCACTATCAAGGGAGCTAATTCATGCGAAATAAAAAGATAAATATTAATCATTCGATGAATATATGTCCCCCTTTTATGTAAATTATATTAAAGTGCTAGTAAAAATGTTCTCCTGTGTATGTTTTTAAAATGTTTATTGTGAAATTTTGTTAGAATTTGTTAATTTTTGTATTTAAAACAAATAAAATATTTATATTCTCATTCTAATTCTTCTTCAATAATTATTTTTGCATTTTGACGATTATGTCAAAATGGCAATAATTAGTGCACACACTTATTTACTTTAAACAGTGATTGTATCTTGTGCAAAACCAACCACGTAAGCACATTATATAAAAAATTAGCCTCAGTCAGATCAAATGAATTTCACGTGAATTTCACGTTAGTCAGATCATGTGAAATTCACGTGAGTCAAATCATGTGAATTTCATGCGAGTCAGATCACGTGAATTTCACGTGAAAAAAAGTTTATGTGAAATACAGATGAATTTCACATGAGTTTCACGTTAACAAGTTCACGTTAAATTCCCGTAAGTCAGATCATGTGAATTTCACGTGAATTGCATGTGAATTTCACGTGAAAACTGTACACGTTAAATTCACATGAAAAATTCACGTGAGCAAAAATTCACGTGAAATTCATGTGAAACTCACGTGAATTTTATTTGACTTTCACGTGAAATGAGAAATTCAAGTGAACAACATTTGCCTGTGTAATAGAATTGAAAAGTGGTATACAGGCTTAACGATTGTTTTTTGTTCTTTTTCTATATTTTACTATAGGACTTAAAAGAGGTATTCAGGCGTAACGAATATTATATGTTCTGTTTATATATTGAATTATAGAGCTGAAAAGAGATATGCCATGAATACGGGCTTAGACTTTTTTGTTCGGTTTTTATTTACAATTATGTTTAGAACTGAATGGTGATTTATATAGTGTACCAATTCGTACAATAGAGTCTGTATAGCATGATTAAACACAATCGTAACGTGTCAATTGAAACTGACTGCTGATAAATTGGAAGTTGGTAACTAGAAAGTTGAAATCATTACGTTTGTCATAAAGTAATCAATGTGTGTCAATATCGAGTTAAAGATCAAAACACAAAGCAGATCATTTCATTTCCTTTATATTGAGTCCACTTGGAAATGAGATACCAGAACTCGTTGAAATATCAGTCACAAATGATCATATAACGTATTAAAAGTAACCGTTTCGTTGCAGGTAATGTCACTCAACAACAAACGGTCTACAATGGAACAATCGAATTGATTCACCCGACGAAAAACAATGTGAACCAGACACTATGTTTTACGGTGTGTGCTGTGCCTTTTAACCGTAAACATCGTTAGTTGTTATATATTTGTTAAAACAACATAATTGAACATGCATTTTTGAAAACCTAGGCTATTAAACAGCAGTTCAGATTTGTTTTCTTTTTTTACTTTTAAATAATTTTACTAACTACATTTTCTACATTTGATCCCTCAAGTCCCGGTATATTCTTCCCTCACAGTTATTATAGCATATAACATGGCGGTCTTTCTTTTAGCATACATTACTAGTTGATCTTTTTTTAATCCATATCTTCAGTCGAAACATTTTGTTGATAAATAGTTGTATTCAACAAACAGAAACACCTTATGAAATAATAAAATGGATCAATAACTATAATTTTGAACATGAAAAGGAATGCAGGCTACAAGATATTTATAATTATAACTGATAAACGTCAAACTGTGTATTTTATAAATCAGTGTGTTTAAAATCCATTTGTGTTTTTTTTTTATCAAATTTGCCATTTAAAAAACGCGAGTTATCTTTACAGGTTATTGTGAATTTTACCTGCGAATGTGTGTGAAATGTTAAATGTTACTAGCTTACTTGATAACGTCGATGAATGATTAAACACATGTATTAGTTCTGTGTTTCATTAATTTTTATAAACTCTGCTGAAAAACACATGAAGCCAATCTAAATCCTCCAGATTTTATTCTCCAGTATGAAAACATACACCATTACAATGGAATGCAGTAAAGGTTATATATTAAATACATAACGTTTCACCTAATTAAACCTGTAATTTGTGTTTGCAATGCAAAACACGCTTTAATTGATTTTAAAACCTCAGATATAATATAATTTCATTTGCATGAATGGAACTTAAAAGAATCTTTATTTGGCCAGTTTATATATATAATTATAAACCTCAAGGGAGATAAAGACTTTATTTGTTCTGTTAAAATATACAGTTTGTGAACTTTTAGAAGGTACACAGATTAATAGGATGTTTATTTGTACAATTGTATACAATTATAGAATTTAAAAGCAGTATCCTGGTTTAAAAAATTGAGATAAGCCATATGTCTCTAAATGTTGACAAAAGAAATCAGTACATAGTGTATTACAGTATTGCTGGTCCAACTGCTTATTGTTTGAGATATTGTTTTTGCTTAACGCCAACATATAACTCTTGGCTATACTATTGCCGTCAGGTTTTGTTGATGGGGGAAGCGACAGCATCCATACAGAATCAATTAAGACAAGAGTCGGACTCTCCTTACCGTATCGGATATCGACGCACATCCAAAGTGTTGATAGGCTAGTAATAACTGTATATGGAATATCTAAAAATATATTTCAACTTTGACCTATAAAGCAACCGTTAGAATGAAAATTAGTTTCCCTTTTCTCTATAAAAACAAAATAGCAATGTCATGAGTCTACGTTTGGTTTTAGAATAATGCCTTCTTTACACCTTCTTCCATAAATACATTACTTCAACATGAAATTGAAATAACATGAAATTAAAATAATGATGTTTCACCTCGGGTTCCTCATTCGGTTCATGTTGCTAAACATTAAGTGTTCTATATAATGTGTTGTTAGTGATGTTTGTTTTTTCGAAGATTTCACCATGTTGTTGACATTGTTTATTGACCTAATGATAAGTGATTATAATTCTCCTTTTTCTAAAGCATTGATATTCCATGTAGGATGGATTCGAAGGTACTAATTGTAAAGCTAGAACTGCTGACCTTCCTGAAATATCCAAAGTCTCACTCTCGACAAGTTGTAAAACAAAGTAATCGATTAATTAATTTTATATATTTAATTTTTCGCCAATGAGAATCATGGTATTTATTTACTTATAGACCTATATAGATATACAGTTGTTTTCCTATCATGTATATAGGTATGCTTCCTTGTTTGATGACAATTTACCCTCAGCAACTTCAAAATATATATTTGGATATTTTGAATCCTTTAAAACGTATAGCTATGCTATTTGTTGTTTTTTTTCAGAGATGTGTGTGACCTTCATAGGTATCCTGTATACGTATCTCTTGTTTTTATAATTGGTAACAGCTAATATCACAGTAATAACAAATGCAAATCGATAACCATTAAGTCATATTTTTGAGCAGATATGATTAAATAAGACTTCAGATCACCTTAAGTTTAATCTATACTTTCATTTGAGATAAATAAATAAATATCAAAACACTAGGACTCGCGTATAAAAGAAAACTTTTACTATGTGAAGTCTGTGTATGGACTTACAATTTATTTATGATATCGTACACATCTGACTTACAATTTAAAGTTTCCCCCAGTGCGATATGTCTATGTTTACATACACCAGTTATTATTAGGATATTATTATACTTCTTTTGTTGATCTTTATTATGATTAATAAGTCAAAAACCTAGGTCAATAATTCATATCATCAATAAACACTAGCAAATAAAACAATTGTCAATCTTCAACCTTTAAATACACGACATACATATATAACCGTTATTGATTTAAATTTAGAACAGTGTTGTCATTGGTTATCTACCTTACCTGTTTATTGTACAGTGTAGACGACAAGCGACAAAATGGCACAGGCAGCATCTAAGACATGTGAGATTTGTGTCAGTGCTCCAGGATCCCATTACTGCTTGGAGTGTGAGCAATACTTTTGTGCAAATTGTAAAACCTTTCATAATAGGCAGAAGATATCAAAAACTCACCAGTTTCAGTCTGCTTCAGACGTAATCCCGGAAGGTAAATCAAAATGCAAGGAACACAATGAAGACGTAAGTTTTGTGTGTAATACATGTAACGTAGCAGTGTGCAGTAGTTGTGTGACCGGAAGTCACACAGGGCATGCCTTTTCCAAGCTAAAAGACATCATATCACAGCTGAAAGAGAAGAACAAAAATGATCTCGATAGAAAGGTAAATGAGACAACCGAAAACATGAAAAAGTTGGAAGAAGGTTTAAAGGCATTTGATGTGAATGTGGATGTAGTAGTCAAAGCTATTACAGAAGAAGGTACGAAAATAAAGGATATGGTTGATAAATGCATCGCAGAGATGATTGCATCGGTCAAGGATCAATTCAGGAAGGAAAAGGACAAATTGACAAAGATCATAGCAGATACTAAAATGGATTTGAAGACGATAAGCGACTCAGACAAGAAGATATATGAACTCGACAAAACACGAAACGACGGGAAATTGTTACAGTCTCTCCAAAAGCTTACAGATGACATTGAAAAACTGACGATAGAGCCTATACCTGAGTTTCCTAACATACAGTTTACTGCTAAGTCCGCAACAAATAACGACATCAAACAGCTGTTTGGCACATTCAAAATAAGGTACATCCATGGAAATACCTGAGAAAAGAATTATTTTGACGACTGCATTTTGCAGTCGTACTAGAAGCTTTAATATATCTATATTATTTGATTGTGACAAGTATTCTTGCATAATCAAAATTCTGTTTTTAGATATCAATGTATTTCTTGATTTAATCTTATGACAATTGCAGGGGAGACAATTTATCAAATAGAAAGATGTGGTCATTAACAATGTATTGTTTATAATGGATGAACAATGTACTCCAGTAAATAAACATGTTGTCTTTGACAATGTACATTTTAAATTATATTAACAATCCACTCGACACTACGTAAACTAATGAAGTAATTCAGGAATATTTGTTTCAAACTGGTACATCCGTTTTTCTCATTATTAAAACGTTTTGTTTTAAGGAAACATATGTAAACATTTCATTTTATTTTGACAGTGAAGTACGTACACAATATACCGGAAACAGAGAGAAAGAATTACCTAAATCAAAGAGGTAGGGCAATATGTTTGTATATTTTACAGTGTTAAATTTACGCTTATGACAATGTAAACATTTCTTCAAATGTTGAAGTGAAGCGCACATTATTTTCATGTATACCTTATATGTTTACGTAATGAAGCCCCTCTATCCACAATTCTGATTCAATTTGTATCCTATATTGTGTAAACCAGTGCACCGTTTAACTGTTGACAATTTTACTAGTACTTAACTTCATTACATTGTTTCTAAGTAGCTGTTTTTTAAAGCTGTATTTGCTTATTTTTCTTGAATCATATTTCTATTCTTAATATTTTGTTTTGCTTTGATTTACATCTTCTACAAAGTCATTTGTAATGCGTTGAATACGTTAGCAAGCACTAACCCAAGCACGATTGTGTTTAAGTGACTAATACTGATCATGATATGCAAACGTATAACGTAAATTATTTTCATGAAGTTTTAGAACCTATTGATACTTTAAATTTACGATATAACCATGATATTGAATGTAAAAGGCATTCATCATAATTATCCGCACTAGTAAGGCAAATTGTGCATAGTATAAGCTAAGTACACCAAACGACATTTTCAAGTCATGTTGCGCAGTCTTCTTTTAATTGTAGTGTTATGTTAACTGTTGTTTGTCCTTTCGTCAATTTTCATTATTTGCCATATTGTTCCCCATATGTCTTCGACGTATGAGTTTGAATGTCCTCTTTGATATTTTCCACCTCTTTTTAAAATATCCTCGATTAACAAGATTAACTAAAATCGACTGTTTGCTGAAGGGTCCAACGACTTCAGCAGTAACATTCACCATCGACTGTTGATAAAGGGGTCAAAGACTTTAGCAGTCACATTCACAATAGACTGTTGGTAAAGCGGTCAACGACTTCAGCAGCCGCATTCAAAATCGACTGTTGATGAAGGGGTGAATCACTTTAGCAGTCACAATCACAATCGACTGTTAAAAAGGGTTCAACGACTTTAGCATTCACATTCACAATCGACTGTTGATAAAGGGGTCAACGATTTCAGTAGTCACATTCACAATCGACTGTTGATAACGGGGTCAACGACTTCAGCAGTCACATTCACAATCGACTTTTAATGAAGGGGTCAACGAATTTAGCAGTCGCATTCACAATCGACTGTTGATAAAGGGTTCAACGACTTTAGCAGTCACAATCACAATCGACTGTTGATTAAGTGGTCAACGACTTTAGCAATAACATTCACGAATAGCGAAGGAAGTTAGTTAAATTGTTTCGTTTCTATATTATCATTGAATGAACTTAACAGAACACTACCAGTTATTTTTATATTGTTTGGAATAATCATATGTAACACAATTCTATATTATTATTCTTGTAATGGTTAGAAAATACATCAAATAACACCATCACTAACTTAGTCCCAATTTCATATTGTATTTTTAGAAATTTATCTGTGACGTCACTTTTTATGGCGTTTATACATTCGTGTGACGCACAGTTCATTATTCTATTGTGCTGTAATTGTGTTCTGTCGTAAATTCATTTTAGGTGTTCGTTGTTATTATGTGGTTTACATGTTGGGATGGGCTATTGTATTGTTTGTTTATGCATTTCTCTGTCCTGAATGTTTTTGCATTTATTGGTACTTTACTGTGGATTCATTATTATTCGTTGGATACCAATTTTCGTGGGTTTCGTGGAAACAGGTGAACCACGAATTAAAATGTACAACGAAAAACATATTTTCAATAGGCTTAGTATACAGATATTGGCAAAACCACGAAATCAAATATCCACGAATATGCAAGTTTTAAAAAATCCACGAAAATTGATACCCACGAAAATAAATGAATCCACAGTATTCCTGTTACGTAATGTTGTCATTTTAGTGGTATTTTTAACATTGCTATATAAACGGGAGGTTTGGCTAGCCATAAACCAGGTTCACCCCATCGTTTTGTGTTAAAATGTCCTTACCAAGTCAGGAATATGGCAATTGTTATCACATGGTCCGTTTTTATGTATGTTGGCGTTTGTTTATGTAACAGTTCAGTGTTTCTGTTGTTCCGTTTTGTTTCCCCTCATGGTTGATGTGTTTTCCTCAGTTTTGGTTTGTGACCCGGATTTGTTTCAGTTACATCGATTTATGACTATTGAACAGCGGTATACTACTATTGCCTTTATATATAGCTTCTTCAATTAAAAAAAGAAAGACGGGGAAATGGAGGAAAAGTATATGCAAAATAAAGACAACAGTAGTATACCGCTACTCGAAATTCATAAATCGATTGAGAAAAAAAACAAATCCGGGTTACAAACTAAAACTGAGGGAAACACATCAAATATAAGAGGAGAACAACGACACAACAGAAACACAACACTAAAATACAACACACACAGAAACGAACTATAATATAACAATGGCCATTTTCCTGACTTGGTACAGGACATTTTAAGAAAACATGGTGGATTGAACCTGGTTTTGTGGCTAGCCAAACCTCCCGCTTTTATGGCAATGTTAATATAACATTAAAATGACAAGATTACATGACAGGACTACAATACACATAAATGGGAGAACATACAGGACAGAGACACACACAAATAATAGCTATCAAAAGGTACCAGGCTTATAATTTAATACGCCAGACGCGCGTTTCGTCTACACAAGACCCATCAGTGATGCCCAGATGAAAGAAGTTCGAAAGCTAAAACAAGTACAAAGTTGAAGAGCATTGAGGACCAAAAGTTCCAATAAGTTGTGACAAATACGGCTAAGGTTATATGCCTTGGATAAGAAAATTCTTAGTGTTTAGAATAATTCATACTTTTGCAAACAGTAAATTTATAAAAATGACTATATAATAAATATACGTGTTAACGCCGAAGTGGTGACTAACTACAGAATAAAAACAAATACGTAAAACAACCTAAATCAGCACATAAAAAAGGCACAGCCGAACAACGTATTATATGTAAGCCGAAGCAACACAGAAATAGTTCTATAAGGATTTCGGATATAAATAAGAATGTCATTAATTCATTGCTACCTTGTGTTTATATCGTGAACTTAAAAAGAGTTTAATTTTATTTTAATCAATTGTGTTGTTCATTAAAGTGATTACGAACAGGATACGAAACCAAAAGAGGAAGGAAAATACCTGTACAGATGTAACGGGTGTGGGTAAGTTCCTTAATATTGTTTTTATGGACATGACGTAAATATGTATATTTATATTATATTAGCAACATACACTACAAACCAGAAAAATCTGAAATGGCCTATATCTTTACTCGACTGTATACTGATTTTTACTCGACCAGTCTGACTTGGTGTGGAACTTACTTGATATTACTCGAGCGTAGTGTGAACCATACTTAACAGTCTGATGGAGAGTTGTCTCATTGGCACTCATACCACATCTTCTTATATCTATGAACTTATACTCTACCAGTACTGAACCGTTTCATATGTGTCTGAACTATTCTCGATCAAGTCTGAACCATGCTCGACCTAGTTTAGACGTACTTTCTGTGACTACATCTTACGATCCGTTACGACAGATAATTTAGCTAATCTGCAATCAATTCCATCTTCATGCCTAATATATCATTTACTGTGTTACAACTCTAGATCCTACTGACGAGGAAAGGTAACACAAGGCCACCGAAAGCTAAATGTTTAGTTCAGTCTAGGTGGCCCTGTGGTCTAGAACGCTGGACACAGTGCAGGTAGTGTTGTCACGATATCCCAATTACATGAGTTGGAATCCCGGCTGGGGAAGAACACAAATTTGCTTCCGCAAATTTGCAGATTTAACATAATTGTGCTGGTATTTAGAGTAATTATGTATATATATATATAGTGTCTAAAAATAGCAAAAATCAACATTCAATCTATCTAGGCGTGGATCAGTTTTTAAATAAACTGATGCAGTTACTACATTAAATTATATAAGTGCCTAAGAATGTAACTTTAACACACTAATGAGTGTTATAAAATTAGTTCTTATATTTTATATTATTCACGCAATATTTCGCTAAATAAATTAGCTTCATCGGGCATGTGCATCTCTCAAGGTGAAATCGGATGCATGACAAAAAAATATTTTTGCAGCTTGAACTACACAATATTTGAGTAAAAGTTTAACAAAATTTATTGATGTTCTATAAAATATATATGTTTGTAAATTGTCTAGAAAAATACTGTTGCCGCTTATTGTTAGCTTGAACTACACAAAATTTGAGTAAAAGTTTAACAAAATTTATTGATGTTCTATAAAAAATCTATGTTTGTAAATTGTCTAGACAAATATTTTTGCCGCTTATTGTACAAAGCAATTCTTAAATCAAAACAAATAGTTGTTTTAGTTAAATAGAATGAAGTTCAGGATTTATTCCTTTGGTTTTGGGTAGAACTGTTTTTTCATCTCTCTCATTAAGTCCATCAGTTTCAAGAGTACGTAGCTGATGCATCCAGAACCTTTCTCTCTGTTTTCTTCTTTGGGAGTCCCAATTTTGGTTTACCTCAATTATTTGAAAGGGGATATTTTCAAAAGTATGCCCTGTTCTTAAGAGGTGTCTCGTAATTGGACAGTTTCTTCCTTTTGTATAAAAAGACCGGTGATTGTTAAGTCTGATGTTGAATTTCGTTTCTGTTTCACCAACATACTGCAGCTTGCAAGTTCCACAAGTAAGAATATAAATCCTTTTTTCCGTTTTGCAATTAGATGTAACATAGATGTTGTATCGCTGCTTTGTTATTGTGCTGCTGAAAGAGTCAGTGTTGGCGACTTTACAGCACTTACAATTGGTTCTTCCGCATTGTTTGTAACACCCAATTTTAGAAGTCTCTTGTTTCTTTACTTTAGATGTGACAGGTATGTCTTTGAGATTTTTGGGTCTGCGATAGGCAATAACAGTAGGTGATGGAAAAATTTCTTTTAAGGAAGAGTCATTTTCGATAAGACGCCAGTGCTTGCGGATAGTAGATGAAATATTTGTCAAATCGGGATGGAAGGTGACAACAAACGGAATTATATCTGCGCGGGTCGTCTTATCTTTGTATTCCATGAGGATATCTCGATCTTTTTCTTGGGCTTTATCAAAAGCGTCTGTGATGTTTTTGCTTTTGTATCCTCTTGATTTTAGTTGTTTTTTTAGTTGTCCCAAACGATAGTTGAGTTTGGATTCCGAGGAGCAAATTCGCTTTAGTCTGATGGCTTGACTGGAAGGTATGCTCCTGGAGTAGTGTTTCGGGTGACAACTTTTTGGAGAAAGGAACTAGTGTTTATCAGTTTTCTTTGTGTGGAGATCAGTTGTAATGACCCCGTTTTTTACAAATGTGGTGGTGTCGAGAAAAGCAATTTTATCGCTTGAAAATTCAGATGTAAATTTAATTAAATGATGGAACTGATTACAATGATCTAAGAAATCTTGTAAATGTTCTGCAGTATCGTTCCATTTCATGTCAATATCATCAATAAAACGGAGCCATGACAAGGGTTTGTATGGCACACTCAAAAGGATGCGTTCTTCAAGATCCCCCATAAAAATGTTGGCAAAAGAAGGTGCCATTTTTGTTCCCATACCAGTTCCGTCAATCTGTAAAAAAGTGCTTGTCGTTGAAAATAAAGTTGTTATTTTCAAGCACTAGCTTGAGCAATTGAACTAGACAGTCAGTTTGTGGATGTTTATCCTTTCGAGTGTTCCATACTTTTTCACACGCGGCTATTCCTTCATCTTTTGGAATATTTGTGTATAAAGAACACACATCCATCGAAACCAAAATTGTGTCATTAGGTAAAGGACTTAAGGAATTCATTTTTTTTCAAATAGTCAGTTGTATCTTGAATATGAGATGGCAGTTGTCTAACATGTGGTCTAAGGTGGTAATCAACAAATTCTGAATTTTTTTCGGTGGGATGGCCATTAGCTGATAATATAGGTCTCCCTGGAATCCCTTCTTTATGGAGTTTTGGAAGTAAGTAAAATCAACTGGCTGTGCAAGTTTCGTCTGGGCGTAGATAACCATACGTATCGTCATCAATTTGTTTATTTTTATTCATTTCTGAGAGGATGTCATTATTTTTGTTGTTGATTTCTTTGGTTGGATCACATGTTAATTCTTTAAAAAAATTAGTGTTGGAGAGCTGACGATTCCCTTCTTCGATATAGTCTGCCTTGTTCATCACAACAACGGCACTTCCTTTGTCCGCTTGTTTGATAACAATGTCATCACGGTCTTTTAAGTTTATCATGGCTTGGCTTTCTGACTTTGAAATATTTCGCACTTGTTTACCACTGATTGAAGATCTGACTTCAGCTTTGACTGATGTAATACATGATTCCAAATTATCGTTTTTGCTTTTAGGTGGATTCCATGTACTTTTATTTTTAAATTCTGGGATGCATATGTCTCCTTCATCACTCTCATAATCAGATTCATTCATTTCGGCTTCTTTTAGATTTTTCTTCTGTTGTCTATTGAAATGTTCTTTCAAACAAAGACGCCTGGCAAATGCTTCTACATCTGTCTCAATTATTACCTAAGAAACATTAATTGTCTTAATGCGCGTCTGATGCAGAAAATGTAATGCTGTTAATGTTATCATAATAATGTTATCTTTGTCCATAACGATTTTGAGTGGTTAACTCACAATATAATTCAAAAATAGGTGGTAAAATGAAGTAAATCAACCACATTTTATTCGAAATCATTTGTTTTGCTTTGGAAATGCTATCTGAGTAAACGACAACACATCTCTCAGTATATTTGTTGGGTAATCTGTCACTTATACATGTGAAACTGACACCATTGATCTGTTTCGTCTTTCAGAAAGGAAAAGAGATCTGATTAGTAAGTATTATCTACGTTTATTGTAAGTGACAAATAGTCAAAACAGTCATTTACTACAGACATGGTTTTGAAATATATTTAAACACTATGCTCGTTCGGATAATAGACACCCCGTAACTATAGACAAACTATTTAACAATGACCTTTAAATACAGACATCTTTGATGCACAACCTTTATGATAAAGGTATATATTACCATGATTCAGATTTGTTTATGTGCTCCGGTCATTCAATTCAATGTTGAGGTGTTTGACTAATACTAATGTTAGTGGCATTCCTTAAAGATGTTAAATGGCTTTTCGGACGCGATCATAGTGGCATCCCTGAAATGGCTTTGCGGACCCGATCATAGTTTGGTTGACATATTTGAAATATTTGTATTCCATATAACTATGAATATATTCCACTTGTCATAACAACCATCTTTCCTATTTTACCACAAAAGACTTACAATGGATATTTTCATGACCAACACGACGGATGCTAGGTCTTAGTTTTCTTTGTATAGTTTTGTTATTGTTGTTTGTCCTTTTATGGTTTATTTATTTGCCATGGTGTTGTATGTTTTTGTTGGATTTTCCAGTGCCCCCTTGTATCTTGTCTAAAATGTCTTTTAAAAAAATGAAGAATTGACATCTAGTATACTGGTAATAAACAAGAAAACTAGGTTCCCATCTGAATAAGTAGATATAAACCCCATGGTATACGTATTCCAATTTAATTGTCAGACCGATGTTGTTTTTCATTATGTCGTCAACCTGTCTGCAATACATTAAGAAATACTTTATATGAAATTTAAATAAAAACGCATTGTTGCCTTGTTTGGAACATTATCAATATTCAAAATTGTCATGTATCGTCTTAACATTTGCAATAATACATACATTAATATATCAAATGTTTCCTCTTAACCTGTATCAATATTTGAATTCTACAAAAAAGGATCAATCCAGGGAAATAATTACGCTAATAACGTCCAAGTTTATCTTAAATTAAGGCAATATTAGTATACCGCTGTTCAATGGTCATAAATCGATTAAGCGAAAACAAATCCAAGTCACAAACCAAAACTGAGGGAAACACATTAACTATAAGAGGAGACAAAACGGAACAACAGAAACATTGGACTGCTATAAAAACAAACGCCAACATACATAAAAACGGACTATGTGATAATAATTGCCATATTCCTGACTTGGTACAGGATATTTTAAGAACAAAATAGTGGATTGAACCTGGTTTTATGGCTAGCCAAACCTTCGGCTTATATAGCAATGTTCAAAAATCCTCTAAAATGACAACATTACGTGACAGGAATAAAGTA